AAAAAAAAAAAAAATATTTTTGTGCTGCTTGAGTGAATTAATGTTATGTTTTGTATAGTTCTATTAAGAAACTGTTTTTGTATGTAGGTTTGTAAGAAAGTATTAATGGTTATATTGAGAATATTGCCTTTGAATGTATGTAGGAATTACAATGGTGTAGAGCAATGGTCATGTTAGAATTATTATATTAATGCACCATGGTTTGGTGAAGTCAAGGAAGTGTTTAAGTTTGATGTGAATACATCAGAAGTTTATTCTACATTTTGTTAGCAAGAAATTCAAATGGTTCTATTAAGAGTTTGCTTTAAGTTGTAAGATTGAGAGAATTGTAACTATATATAACAATGTGTTAGAATTATGTTAACCTGTTAATGTTAATGATGAAGCTAAGGGAGTTTTTAAGTTTGATGCAGTTGCATCAAGAGTTTTTTTTTGTTTAGAGAGATCTTGGTGCAGCTAAGACTGATATAGTCACCTTAGACCCATTCGAAAAAAAGAAATGCTGCTGTGGATATCACTCTATATAAATAAAACACTGATGGCCAGTGACCAGACAGGAAGTATAGGCGGGACAAGGAGAGAGGAGAATTGGGGAAACAGAAAGAAGGGAAGACACTGCAGCCACCGCCAGGACAAGCAGCATGTAAAGACGCCGGTAAGCCACCAGCCACGTGGCAAGGCATAGATTTATAAAAATGGGTTCATTTAAGATAAAAGAAGAGTTAGCAAAAAGCCTGCCACAGCCATACAGTTTATAAGTAATATAAGCATCTGAGTGAGTATTTTATACGTGGATTGTGGGACTGCGGGGCTTGGTGGAACCTGGAGAGAAGCCCTCCAGCAACAAAATGCCATCTTTATCGTCCTCTACTCCAATGCTGGGAGGTTTGATGGCTATGGAGATTGCTGTGAGCTCTCAATGGAGAGTTGGTTTTTATACATTAAGAAAGGGGGACCTGTGGGAGCCCATTTTAGGTTTCCTAGTGGCTTTACACAGCAGGACTGCATAGAGAGGATGACTGGATCATGGCCCTGAATGCAGGTGTCTAAGATGGTCTGCACTGGGCTGTGCTGGGGGAGATATTTTGCTCCACCCCTTTGCATTCCTTTAAATACCCTAGGGCAGAGACAGTCGGGGCCGATGGATTATGATCCAGACCCTCTCGAGTCTATCCTGTATTTTCTGTTTCTCTTCCCCTCTATCCTTCTATTTAATATTTCCTGCTGCTCCTACTCAAGAGTACTCTGGAGGAAATGTGGGGATTGTGGGTAGACACCCCCCACAACAGATCTCTGTGAGTTCGAGGCCAGCATGGTCTACAGAGTTCCAGGAGTGCCAAGACCACACAGAAAAACCTTCTCTCAAAAAACAAAAACAAAACAAAACAAAAAAAGAAAAAGAAAGAAAGAAAGAAACAACAACAACAAAAAACCAAACAAACAAAACCCACATTCTCTGCTAACTTTACATTATCTTGAAATTAGTTCGCTCTCTGCATTTCTCTTAGTCTGCTGCCTCAGTGCATTATGCAAAAACACCTTTTACAATGACTGCTATTTTAGATACTTTTTTAAGAAAAAAAATTGAAGTTCCAATCATTGTGAATCAGACTAAAATAGCAACAAGGCCATACAAGAGAAACATGATGATGTCCCCTCATACAGAAAAAAGTAAATTCTCCTCTCCTCCATATCCTGCTCTCCATATGTAAGAGACACATGGTACCAAACGCCGTTTGAAAAGCGGCTGCGTCGGGGGAGTGAAGTCTTTAAAGTTAACCTCATTGCTTTGGCACACTAAGCTACAGTTATTTGCCTTCCAGAGTCATTGTATTTTAATGGAGAAGATGCACAGCCAGGCATTATAGTCTTTATGTTCTTTTTTAAGACGATAGTGACCCACAAGCTGCTCGCATGCCTGCATTTGTTGTGTGTTTCATTGACGCAGCCCTAAGTCTGGCGCAGAGTGTGTGTTTAGTGTGTACAAATGCGTGGAAGGAGGGATTTCTTAGCGTGCACCAACGTGTGGAAGGAGGGATTTCTTAGTGTGTACAAATGTGTGGAAGGAGGGATTTCAGCTGTTGGGTTGCTTTGCCATTTTCATTATTTATAGGCATTTTTTCTAATTTAAAACTAAATTGACTTTTTTTATTTACTTAAAGAATAAAGGATCACCTACAGAAGATACATGCCTGCTGGTAAGAGTCTGTCCTGTGACTATTCCAAGAGCAGTGGAGGGAAAGTGGTTCCTAATGGAGATGCTGAACACAGAACGGTTTTGCCTCTGACTTAAATTTAAGCATCCCTGTCCAGGACAATGTTTGCCTTGGGTTTCTTTAGAAGGTGACAGAGCCCTGTTAGCAGCCCAGTTCCTACTGTTCCCAACTGTGTAGGAGCCTGCGACTGAGAAATCAACGCTCCCGAGGGTGGACTCCTTTTCTGCCTTACAGGTTCCAGTTTTGTGTTTTTATGAGATTCCCTATGTGTGCAAAAGTGTCTCTGTGTCTAGATATGTTTCTTGTGCTTTTTCTTTGGTTCTTTTCCTTTTGTTTGCTAGTCTTGTCCTATACTATGTTTTTTTGTTTTATCTTATTATTATTCTTTAGGGGCCTGTTTGTTTTCAAACCAGACACAGAAAGGGTGTGGATCTGGATGGGAGGGGAGGTGGGGAGGAACTCAGAGGAGTTGGGGGAAGGGAAACCATAATCAGAATATATTATATGAAAAAAAAATCTGTTTTCTTTTTTGGTTTTTTTTGTTTATTTGTTTGTTTGTTTGGTTGGTTGGTTGGTTGGTTGGTTTTGGTTTTTCAAGACAAGGTTTCTCCATGTAACCCTGGCTGTCCTGGAACTTGCTCTGTAGACTAGGCTGGCCTTGAACTAAAAAATTCCCCTGCCTCTGCCTCCTGAGTTCTGAGATTAAAGGCCTGGGCCACCACTACCCAGCCTAAAATCTATTTTCAATAAAAGAAAAATATAAAAAATAATCTCAAGACCATGTTGCTTAAAAATATAAACAGCTGGGCGCCACTTTTAGTCCTAGCATCAGGAGGCAGAGGCAATGGATCTCTGTGAGTTCGAGGCCAGCCTAATCTACAGAGCGAGTTCCAAGCCAGGCTCCAAAGCTACAGAGAAACCCTGTCTCAAAAAACCAAAAAAAAAACAAAAACAAAACTTCTCTATCATTGCACATTTTAATAACTTTAGGCAAAGTTAACTTGTTGAAAGAGCACATTCCTGGGAAATCATATAAAGGAATATCTTTGGCTTAAAGACACCTCTGAAAATAACAAGATGCCCTAATTATGGCCATCCATTCTAGTTCAAAATAACTGTCACTCACAGACAGTTGCATGGAAATCATGTGTACCTCTCACCTGACCTTATTGAGTTATTTCTAATCCCCCAATGCTGAGCCCACCCATTGAGCTATTCCCCCCCTTTTCCCACCCATTAAGTTATTTCTCCCCCTCCATCCTGCTGTTGAGCCCACCCATGAGTTATTTCTACCCCTACCCTTCTGCTGAGCCCATCCACTGAGTTCTTTCTACTCTTACCCCCCCCACCCCGCTGCTGAGCCCACCCCCTGAGTTGTCTCCATCTGGTGATATTGATAAGATTTCCTATTTCTGTTTCTTCATACCAAACTATGCCTGTCTTACCAAATAACTGACTCCTGATGTGCTGTGGATGTCTTTCTGTACACTGTGAATGCGTGTTGCTCTGATTGGTTGATAAAGCTGTTTGGCCTATGGCAAGTGGGGAATATTTAGATGGGGACTATCTAGGTAGGGAATTGGAGAGAGAGACAGGAAGAAGAAAGGCAGAGGGGAGAGAGATGCCAGAACCTCCAGGAGAAGCAAGATGTGATACCAGTACACCACGACCACATGACAACTTATAAATTAATAGAAGTAGGTCAAATCATAAGAGCTGGCTAGCAAGAAGCCTGCCATAGGCCATGCAATTTGCAATTAATATTAAGCCTCTGAATGGTTATTTTATAAGCAGCTGTGGGAACTTGGGACTGGGTGAGACCAGAGAAACCTTCTGACTCCATTTGGCACCCAATGTAGGGCACTGATCCACATAGATCTAAGAAAGCTTAAAGATTATGAACACACAGAAACAGAGCCACACTAGGCTTCCTAGTCTCACAGTCTCATGCCAGCAGCAGCACAGACTCATCTTCCAACAGCTGCCTGTGAGATGGAGCTGGCCACCAGCTGCCATAAGCTAAGCAGCATGGTGGATTCCCACAGCAGTATACAATGGTGTTTCTAAGCTGCATAGCATACTGCATAATGGATTTAGCTTTTGCTAGTACAGACAATAAAATAGAATAAAATATAAAATAAAATAAAAACAGGTTTCTGGGTAACATGCTGCTTCTTGGAGACAGACACAGTGCTTCCCAGAATTGGTGGTAGGCATACTTCTGCCATATTAGGAAGCTGAGATGGGCAGAGTTAGCAGCCAAGGCTACTGCTTTTCATCCTAGCCATGTAATTTAGCAGTTTAAAATCTCTCCTGGTCAGAAAAAAATCATAGATTCACAATAAGACAGATTTAGATGGAATAAAACTCTAAATGGTTTATAATATATGTAAAAATGTACATAGGCTTGGAAGAGAGGGGGAAAAGGAATATATGCAATTATATAAAAATAATTAAAAAAAATAAACTCTTTAAAGAGACAATAAAAATAATAAAAAATAAGCCACATAAAGATGAAAATCAGCCAGGCGGTGGTGGCGCACGCCTTTAATCCCAGCACTCGGGAGGCAGAGGCAGGCGAATCTCTGTGAGTTCGAGGCCAGCCTGGTCTACAAAGCGAGTTCCAGGAAAGGCGCAAAGCTACACAGA